GCTTGGATCTGTATCCTCCACCGGCTCTTTTGCTGCATGATCTGCTGGAAATAAGAAGGCTTTATCACTCCTTAATCTTCCGTCTGGCAATTTGTATTTTTATTCTTTGTCTGACCAAGATAAAGCACAACTATGCAGCCATTACATGCATTATGTCAAATTACATTTCCACAAGAAAACATGACAAACTAGAAAATGTCATAGCTACTAGCACATAGATGAGAAACTACATGCAACAAGGAAACCCAACTCTAAGCTAACAAAAGATAGACATAAATGAAAATTCTAAATTATTTTTAGTCAAAAAAAATAAAAATCACAAAGCAATTCCACAATAAAGAGTAAAATCCAGCAAATTCGCTAAAAGGTAAGTTTTGTTATTCTTGTGACAGCACTCCACTTTTTCCTCAAAGTGGTAATTCAAACAGTAAACATACCCTCTACAACAAAGATTAATACTATAATACACAGCATATTGTACTACAAAACCTAATAAAAAATGTATTTGAGGTAAACATTAATTATTTGCATACAATAGAATAATAACCTTCAATTCTATTAGCATCAAAAGTATATATAAAAAAAAATCTTCAAAGTACTTGCAGGTGAATCATTAAATGTCAACCCCTCTGCATCAATGGCTAAACTCACAAATAATAGTGGGGTATCAAGCAAAAGGGCACAGAAAATCTTAAACAAATCTCATGCAGAAGTCAGGATTCTCAAAATCACTCCTGTAATTTAACTGCCATTTCCTTGAGGAGTCTCTTCTGTTGACAAGTATCACGTTTTCAAAAACTGAATTTCAAATTATGTGGTTGGATTTTCACTCCATTCTTGATACTCTCATTCTGAAAGTCCTTATACTTACTACAAGTATACATCAAATGCTTTCAGCTGCAACCAGTAAGAGGTGATTGGAATGAATATTTGGTGATTACCTTCTCACACATATAGAAATCACTTAGTGCATTTAGAACACAGTCCCAGAAATTATTACAAACTGCACAGTACAAACACTGAGCCCCAAAATAACTCAGAAGTTACACAGACACTATCCTAACCAACTCAGATTTAACACAATTGTTTATTTTGGGACCTACTCCCACAAATCTACTCAACACAATAGAACAGCAAGCTAAAAGGTGATCAGGCCCAGTCAGCATGGGTTATGAGAGGCAGGTCCTGCTCGACTAACCTGATCTCCTTCTACAACAAGGTGACCCGCTTAGTGGATGAGGGAAAGGCTGTGGATGCTGTCTACCTGGACTTTAGTAAAGCCTTTGACACCATTTCCCACAGCATTCTCCTGGAGAAACTGGTTGCTCATGGCTTGGATGGGCACATTCTTCACTGGGTAAAAAACTGACAGGATGGCCGGGCCCAAAGAGTTGGGGTGAATGCAGTTCAAACCAGCTGGCAGCTGGTCACAAGTGGTTCCCCAGGGCTCAGTACTGACGCCAGTTCTGATTGATATCATTACCAATGATCTGGACAAGGGGATTGAGTGCTCC